TTTTTAATGTATCTTGTGCCAGTTATCTGAACCAGAATTTGTAGGGCATGGAAAGTGACTTGTAGAGCTTGAGATAAAGTGAAACTTAGTCTCCCTTAAATGGTGCCACTTTATTCTGCATATTTACCTGAGAATTATATTATTTCATTAACAGATTAGATGCAATTGCTCGGGATGCTGAATTAGTTGATAAGTCAGAGACCGACCTCAGACGACTAGGAGAATTGGTACATAACGGTTGCATTAAAGCTCTAAAGGATAATTCTTCAGGAACAGAACGAACAGGTAATATTAAAGTGAGAATGATTTAAAGGGAGGTAAATAGAAGTTTCAAATTATGCTTTTATTGAGTTTGGTATGTGTTATATCTTAGCTACCTACTCATCACTCTTGAAAGATGCTTTAAAAAACAAAGCAGGACCATTCCTGGGTAATAGGAAATGGGTAATAGAATTGTATTACTGAAACCAATAGAGTTTGTCTTTCTGTTTGGTATATTCTAGCTGGTAGGTAGCATTAGGTGTTACTGTATTTTTTGTATATAAATGGCTAGGAAAAGATAGTGTACATGTATAATATGGTTTTTGGACATAATTACTTCATTATGCTTATTTTGTAATTTATCTACCTAAATGAAAATATTTAGATAAGATTTAGTAATAAAACGTACTGGAAAAAATCATGCTAGAACTCTTATTTAGAAGGTGACAGCATTAATAGATTGAAGTATCTTGTGCAATTGGTAAAACAATTAAGAAATGCTTTCTGTGAAATGCTTTCTGTGAATTCACATCTGCTATAATGTAAGTACTAGTATGTACTGAAAAATCTTGTAGTGAATTTAAAGTTTGCCAACAAGTGCCCCCTCCCAATAATATAAACAGGTAAAATGAATTGATTAGCTAAATAAGTAATGCTTATTAATATACATCGTAGTGTATCTTGCTTAGAATTGTATACTTCATACTTTTTTATGTCTTAAAAAAAATTAAGGTGGTAGACTTGGAAAAGTGAAGGGTCCAACATTCCGAATATCAGGAGTACAGGTGAATGCCAAGCTCGTCATCTCCCATGAAGAAGAATTGATACCATTGCATAAATCCATTCCTTCAGATCCAGAAGAAAGAAAACAGTGAGTTATTTACTATACCCATTATAAAATATTTATTGTTACTCAATAATTCCGCTGTGTATGGATGTTCAAAATGTTTTTTTATGTCACTGGCTAGCTTGAATGAAATGTTTTTAAAGATAAAATAAAGCATAGTATTTTGAAGTTCTAATCAAATATGTTTTTCAAAATTTTAATATGGCAGTTATAAACTTGACAGTGGTTATTAACTTTGTTATTAGGTATACTATCCCATGCCATACAAAGGCAGCTCATTTTGATATAGACTGGGGCAAAGAAGATGATTCCAATTTGTTAATTGGTATCTACGAATATGGATATGGAAGCTGGGAAATGATTAAAATGGATCCTGACCTCAGTCTAACACACAAGGTACTTAAAATTTGTTTCTGTTGACCACTGATGTTAGATTTTTTTCTTTTAAATTATGTTAGAAATTAATTAGACTGATGGGAAACCAAGGCCCTAACGAGCTGTATGACCTTGGCTTCTTGGTTTTCATGAAGGGATTGAATTTAAATGATGTGAGATTTTGCTTAACCTCTAAAATTATATACTTGTTACTAAGGCATAGGTATATTTTTCTTCATAGCATTAAGTTTAAAGTAAACCTCTAATTCCATCATTATCTTATTTTTAGCAAAAAAATGATTCTGAAATATTTTATAGTTTTTTGCTAAAATCAAACAATGTTTAGGGATTTTGGTGATTTGATACTACCCTGGTAGCTAAAATCATTTCTTTGCCTAAACTGGAAAACACTGGAAGCATTGCCTTATCTTTTTATCTTATTTAAATTATATTTTTATATTTTACTTTTTCATAGACAGAGGGGAACCTTTTGATATTGGTGCTGTGTCATTTGTTGCCTGTGAGTCCAAACTTAAAATAGTTTAAAATCCCGCTGTGGATATTTTCTCAAGGTGCATGCTTTGGGTCACCTTAAATAGATGATAACATTGTTCTAGGACTCTTTGTATACTGTACAGTTAAATGTACTGTTATTGAGAAAGGAAGGATATCTAAGAATACTGTAATATTTAATAACACTGGATGCTAAATACACTTGTATATTGGAAAAGAAATTTTTAACCTCACACTTTGTATTATTACTTTGAATGTAGGCATTTTTTTTTTTCATGTATTTAGAACTTATTCGCAGGCAAATTAAATCTTTGCTGTGGGGTAGGTATATAAAAATGTATTTTGCACTCTTAGTTGTTTAATGCCCATAAATTTTAACAGTTGTAACCTGTCAGTAAATTGTATGTATTTCTTTCAATGAGTGAGAATTTTTTAGGCAGTAACATTTTCATGTAATTTATTAAGAACAACCTGAAAAAGTTCATTTCTTTCAGATTCTTCCAGATGATCCTGATAAAAAACCACAAGCAAAGCAGTTGCAGACACGTGCAGACTACCTCATCAAATTACTTAGTAAAGATCTTGCAAGAAAAGAAGCTCAGAGACTTTCTGGTGCAGTAAGTTAAAATTTAGTGCTTGAGAGCAATTTACTTGTCAGTAAATGTAGTTTAGTGATAGCCCTAGACATCTGAGTCTAATATGACCTTATAAATGTATTTTTCTATATTTTAGTAGCTTTAATTGTATATGGTGATATTTGCCTTCAGTTGTCTCTGTATTTCTTTTAAAACTGGTAAGTCTTTCAGAAGTAGGATCCTGGGTTGTGTGTGTGTGTGTGTATGTGTGTGTTTCCTGGTGTTTGGATAGGTGGTGGGGGCAACTTGTTTAGAGAGGAGTAATTTTTGAGAGGTCGGGCCTCTATGACTATTTTATTTGGTGTTATTAGAGAGCTAAAGGTACAGCATTAAAGGTCACAGAGCTTATTTATGAGAGGGGTTCAGAAGAGTAGGAAAAATACACCGAAAGAGAGGTCATTAGAAACAGTCTTTACAATTTACATTATAATCACAATGTGATTATATAATTACATTGTGTAAAATAATTTTTATGTAAAATAATTTTAATGCTATCTCTGTTAGGATCAAATTTAGTTGAAGATAATTGTAAATTAGGAAGGTGAAAAACCTCCCATTTTTTTCAACTTCCACTTTGCTTTAATTCTTTTTTAAAGGAATAATTATAGTTAGTATCAGTTACTCATGATAATATGTACTTGACTCATTAAATTATGTCAGTTTTGTTGACTTTCTAAGATTGGTGTAAGTTACTACCAATAGACCAAGGATTGGGTAGGAATATGTGTTAACTTTCAAGATTTACTACTTAAGGAATTTTTTAAAATTGAATCTCTGGAGTTGGTTAGAATAAAATAATTATTTTTAGGGAGGTTCAAAGAGGAGAAAAGCAAGAGCTAAGAAGAATAAAGCATTGAAGTCTGTAAAAGTGAAAGAAGAAATAAAGAGTGATTCTTCACCCTTGCCCTCAGAGAAGTCTGATGAAGATGATGATAAGGTAAGAATGTGTTTTGGAAGAACAGCCTTTTTATACTAGAAAGGGAACATAACGTGTTTTAGTATACTTGCCATTTAAAAATTGAACTAAGACCTAAAATTTTACATTTAGGTACTGAAGTTCCTTTTGTGTAGTTTATTACATAGTCTCACATGCAGAACAGAATTCTACTTGTCCCATAGAATGTCACTAAGAGGGATAGAGCAAAGGTTCTTCCTTTTCAGAGGTTTGCCATTTAAATGAGGTTCTGTCTCCTTTGATTTTATTTTGAATGGGACTGGCTTGCTTTAGTTTTTATAGGAAGGTTGAACATTGCATGTATCATTATTAATGGGATTCTGGGTTATTTCTTTCCGAATCCACATACATGCAATCCATAGTCATACAAAGAAAGAAATCAGTCTTTGTCAAGATTTGGTTAGTAATACATTGGCCATACTTGCACTTTTCAGGATGAGATCACTTCTGTGAAACATCCAAATAAAAAAATTAAAACAGAAAGAGACAGTGAAGAAAGACCTGAGCCAGATGTTTTTATAAAGAAGGAATCAGAAGAAAAGAGGGAAGCAAAAGAAAAAGAGAATAAAAGAGAACTTAAAAGGGAGCTAAAAGAAAAAGAGGATAAGAAAGATTTAAAGGAAAAAGATTTTAAAGAGAAAAGAGAAAACAAAGTAAAAGAAGCTATACAGAAAGAAAAAGACATAAAGGAAGAAAAGGTATGCAAATCATAATGTAAAACTTAGAAAGTGACAAAATCAACATATTTACATTTTAGGAAAATAAACTGCCTATCAGCCCAAATTAGCCTGAATAAGTTCTTTAAAAATACATGTGGGTATCTAGAAGAGGAGAAAAATAGGTTTGGATCTGTTTTTTTAAATGCCTTACCTGTAGGGTAATGTTACATAATAATTTATTTTTGGTTTCCCCAAATAAAATTGGGGAAAGATAAAGAGTATGGAATGTGAACAAGCAATTATAGAATAAAAAGAGACATTAATTGTTTTCTGAAAGTGTTAATCATTTCACCTTTGTTGTTGCTGGATTTTTTCCCCCTCTTTTTCTTTAGTTGAGTGAATCCAAGTCTGATAGCAAGGAAAGATCCAAGAAATCTTCAGTGTCAGATGCTCCAGTTCATATCACAGCAAGTGGTGAACCAGTTCCCATATCTGAAGAATCTGAAGAGCTAGATCAGAAGACATTCAGCATTGTAAGTAGTAGACTTACTGGTTATTAGTAAGAATTCATATAATATTTTATTTTAATTGGCAGTTTTATCTTTTGGAGCTTTTAATTTAGAAATGTATTTGAATTGGGTAGTTTTGCAATTCAGATTGATAAAGGCAATAGATTTAAATTTTGAACGTTATCATAAATGTACAATTAACTTGGAAAAACTTCTTATTAAAGACTTTAGGGAAAGTCATTTAAGGAACACTTAGAGTGAACTTTTTTCCCTTCAGCTTCAGAATTTTAAAGTTTTCAGTTCCTGAACCTTTTATCTATATAAAACAGTGCTTCTTATCTACAGTAAATGACTAGCTATTTTCCCCCCAGTATTTTATAGGCCAGTATTCTTAGAAAGTATAGTAAAAAAAAAAAGTAAAAATAATTTCGTTAGAGAAGTGAAAGTAAGGGAAAAATACACAAAATGTAATAAGCCCACTGGGGCTTATGACAGACATAAAATTGCACTGTCAAACTGATATGAAGGTTTCTAAAATTTCTGTACCTGTCCCCCATTGTGGACTAGTACAAGTTCATAGACCTAGAGTAACACTGGTCTAAAAAATACTGGTTTTACATGGTACCATGCTTTTATGTTCATCAAAGTCAGAGAGGAACTATCTTGGCCTTTTTCCAGATGATTTATTTACTGAATATAATCAGGAAACCAAAATAGTCTCAACTGTGAAATTAACTGTGATACAAATTTTGAGGAAAACTTTATAGTGAGGTTGCAGTGTGGAAAAACAGTTTGGTGTAGTAATTGAATATACTGGCTCTGGAGCCAGTTCGAAAAGTAAGTATAATGATTAAATGAGTTAATACATGGAAAGTTTTTCAGCTAGTGCCTTTATTTTAAGAAATTGTTGTAGTGGATGTTGTTATTGAATATAGATATGCCATCAGATTGATAAAGGACTAAAAGAATCCAAATACAGAGCAAAATCAAGAAGGAGTAATACTGTTAGAAAAAAAAAAAAAAGACTGCATGATATGAGACCGGTACAAATTATCCTTGAATAAGAGACATGCTGTTATTGGTAGCACCCAAAGTGAAAATTTATAGTCTGATATATAAATGTATATCTCATTGGGGCGCCTGGGTGACTTGGTAAAGCGTGTGACTCTTGATCTCGAGGTTGTGAGTTCAAGCCCTACACTGGGTACATCCCCTGGGCATGGAGCCTCCTCAGAAAGAAAATATCATATTTGTATATAGTTACAGTATGCACAAATACGTGTAAATATATATTCTTATAATAAGAAAGAGTATTTCCTCTTTAGGATCCCTAGAATCTGAATCTTTGGCACTGCTAAGGTGTAATCTTAAGTTTATCGCTGGTATAAATTAAATGCTAGACTTGAAAGGTGGAAATTTTCACTTCTAAAATCACATTTTTGTTTTACCTACTGTACCATTCTAGATTCCCCGGGTTAACTTCTTGTCCTGTTTGCTTCTACTTTGTATCCTAACTAGAGAAGGTTGATCAGTGATAGTTTTTTCTCCTCCTTATTTTTGGCTGTTCACATCCCTCCAATCCCTAATAATATTGGAGACATTCAGATAAGCTACTCTTGTTCCTGTCTTCCATCTCACTTATTTGTACATATCTCTAGACTTTTCATTTCTGTGTCTTCAGGTTTACAGGCTGGCATTACTTAGCATCTTTTTAAGATTAATCTTTCTGTTTGTGACTTGGTTCTTCTTAACCTAGCCTATCCATTTTCTATTAATTTTTTATTTTAAACCCCTCTCTGTTGGGGAGAAATGGGAAGGTAGATGGCGATATGCTTTTGCTTTTCTGAGGTGAAAATGAACTCTTTGAACTGCTTCCTTTACCTGCTCATTACTGAGTTTGGTGAAATTGCACCTCTTGCCTCTCTTCTTTGCCCACATTTCCTCCTTGGCTTTCTGACTTGTTCATATAACTGCCTTAAAGGAAAATTTCCTGTTGTGCCCAATACATGAATTTCTTCTTCACTAACCTTCATAATTGATCTTAAAATCTCTTGTATTATGGAGATGAAGAATGGAATAATTTTAAACATAGACTCTGGAGCCAGAGCTTACATGATTAGGATTTTACTACTGTATAAATTTTATTTGGGAATAGCTGTAATTATAAATGTAATGGCCTTTTCTCAGTCTTCATTTTCCTTCACATCCTTGCCTAATTTAACACCTTATTTTGTGCCTTATTGATCTGTCTCCTAAATGTGAGTATAATTTAATAGTCAAGAATGAATACAGAGTTCCAGGTCAGACCTGGGTTTGCCAGATGTTATTTCAGTCTGAACTTCAGTTTTCTTCAATACAATAAATAGTATTTATTGCAAAGGCCTACTACTGGAATCAAAAGAGGTGCCTTTTACACAACACACAGCTTCTGATACATAGTAAGTACTTTATAAATATTTATTACCATTGCTCCATTTCCCATCTTCAGGCCCTGGCCTTAGAGCATGGATTTTTGTCATGAATTCCTCCTTTTTTCTTAACCCCTTCCCCTGCCCCCCAATCAGTCAATGAACAAATGATACTGGACTAAGCAAATGATATTGGCACTGCCATACTGCTTCAAGCTACAGCCATCTCTTCCCTGGATTCTTTCAGTAGCTTCATAGCTGTTTTCACCATTCCCACTCTATCCCCTGCTATACCCTTTTCGTTCCTCAGTGCATACTCCCCACAGCAGCCAGAGTGATAGCGACTGTCAGGGAGAATAAAGTCACCCCTCTTATTTTTTACTTAAAATCCTTGAGTGGCTTTCCCTCTCACTCAGGATTAAAAGATTCATAATTATAGGCCAAAAGATGCTGCATCTGATTTATTACTCCCATCATCTCTGCTACTTCCCTCACTTAGTAGGTCCCAGCCACACTGTCATTTATACTGTTCCTTTGAACATAAAAATTTTAGAACTTCCTTTGCTCACGGTGGCTTACTCCTTCATTTTCTTTAGATGTCTGCTCAAACATCACCCTTCTCTGATACTGTATATGAAGTAGAAACCTCTCTACTTTTTCTTGCTTTTTCTTTATCACAGTTGTCACCATCCAACACATAGTCTATTTATTTATTGGCTGTTTTCTCTTACTAGAGTACAGGTTCCACAAAGGCAAGGTGTCTTTTTATTTACTGCTCTATTTCCTGAGTCTAGGACAATGCTGAGAACAGGGTATGCAGTCAAATGATATACACTGAATGAATCATTTTCTAGCAGAATATAAACTACCAAAATTGAACAAGAAGCAGGAAATGTAGAGAACAGATACAGGAGTAATGCTAAGAATTAGAAAGAAAAAGATTTCTTTAAAAAAAAAAATCAGGCCTGGCTGAGTTCTAATTTTAAGTAAAAAATATTTGATTCTAATGTTATTTAAGTTATTCCTGACAAAAGTTGGATAACTTCCAAATGATTTGGACAAATAGGTCAGTAAAACAGAATAAAATCCATAGAAACAATTCCACACATAATATAGACAGTTAATTTATAATAAGAGTGGCCCTTCCACAGCAACAATACAAGGATTTTTTTTTTTAATGTTTATTTATTTCTGAGAAACAGCACGAGTGGGACAGGGGCAGAGAGAGGGGGGAGACACAGAATCTGATGCAGGCTTTAGGTCTGAGCTGTCAGCACCGAGCCCGACACGGGCTTGAACTCACTAAATATATTGTCTGTAATTGATCCATCCTTAACATTCCTGAACTAACCCAACTTTACTACTTGTAAATTATTATTATTAATCATTGTTCATTTTAAATTTGTTTTACATGTTAATATATATTAATATATGTTAATATATATAAATTAGTTTGCTTTTTTAGTGATATTTTCATTCTACTTTTGGTGTAAGGTTATAGTTTGTTTTGTTTTGTTTTTTAAATCTTTTATTTATTTTTGAGAGAGAGCAAGAGCGAGCAGGGGAGGAACAGAGAGAGAGAGAGAGGGAGACACAGAATATGAAACACGTTCCAGGCTCTGAGCTGTCGGCACAGAGCCCAAAGTGGGGCTTGAACTCACAAACCATGAGATTGTGACCTGAGCCAAAGTTGGATGCCCAACCAAATAAGTCACCCAGGCGCCCCTAAGGTTATAGTTTTTATTGCACAAATTGTATTTTAACTGAATCATCAATTTTTGTTATGTCCTCTTTTTATTAGCATGCTAGTGATATGTAGGGTAAGGAAAAAGGTTGGTTTCTATCAAGTATCCCCAACTCTTTGAGTAGCCAAAATATGGTAAGAGCAAAATTCATTAGTTACTTTGTTTTGTCCCAAAGGTTTAGAAGAATAGACAATTTATACTTATACGTCAATTGATTTTAATAGTTTGACAGCATATTTTATTTTATAAAAGATCCTCATATTTTTACATTTTGTTCGACATTAGAGTGAGTCTAGGGTATTAAGTTATAGTCTGAAATATTTTATTTTTTAACATTCTCTGTTTTAAGACTGCTTGATGATGATTGGGGCGCCTGGGTAGCTCAGTCAGATAAGCACCCAAGTCTTGGATTCAGCTCAGGTCATGATCTCAACCTTGTACTGTCAGCATGGAACCTGCTTGGGATTCTCGGTTGGTCTGTCTGTCTGTCTGTCTCTCTCTCTCTTTCTCTTGCTCTTGGCCCCTCCCCCCACACAAGTGCACATTCTCTGTCTCTTTCTCTTTCGAAATAAACTTAAAAAAAAAAAAACTGCTTCATGATGTGTTGCAGTGCAGAAAGTAACCATTTTTACAGAAGGTAAATTAATCCAAAGCTTTTACATGCACAAAGGTTGAATTTAAATGATAATGAAAAACCTTACTTTCTGAAGAAAATCTGAGAGGAAAAAACCCTGATATTTAAGAGCTGTGAGGCGAGCTTTAATGCTTATTTTAACATCAAACAGTGCTATATTTACTCATATAGATATCATTGAAAGAAGTAGATGTTTGTTGAATTCTTATTTTTAATACATGTTCTTATTTTCCCATTTTAAAGTGTAAAGAAAGAATGAGGCCTGTCAAAGCAGCTTTGAAACAACTTGATAGGCCTGAAAAAGGCCTTTCAGAAAGAGAACAACTGGAGCATACTAGACAGTGTTTAATAAAAATTGGAGACCATATCACAGAATGTCTGAAAGAGTATACAAATCCTGAACAAATCAAGCAGTGGAGAAAGTAAGTGATGTACTTTTCAGGAAATGTTAATTTCCTAAATTGTAATTATGTAACCATCTAATTGTCTCATATTTCAGTTTATTTTTCCTATTCTGAAGTTTAGATAACAAAATACTATTTAAAGAAGTAATCTGAAGGCGATTGTTTTCATTTTTTCCCTTTAAAGCTTTTTATTTATGAATGATTGCTTAATTCACATCATGATAAGGCACAGGTGGCACCTCTGTCATTAAGAAATAGTCAACATTGTTTCATTAAAATTCAGATTGCATTTTATTTTTAAAAATCTCTGCACTTCACCAAATTATTGTTAGTAATATCTTTAGTTTGCAGTTCCAAATAAACAAATTTGTTACATAAATTTAGCAATTCATCTTCCAGGTGTGAGTATATAGCCTTGTAAGAATTAATATTCTCAAACAGTGTAAAATGCACACTTTTATTTTCCCTTTTATTTTAGAAGCAGCAGCACAGTTGATCTTAAAATTTTAAGTCTGAGCTGCTGTATTATACAAATCACTTAACGATTACCAGATCAGATCAGTGTTAAGCCAAACTGCAAGACAAGTTAGGAATACTATAAAATGACCATAAACCAGTCCTGTCAGTTTATTAGTCTGCTGATTTCTTGCTTTATGCAGTGCAGCTACATACCAAAGGAAAAACTGTAATGACATATTTCTGAAGGAGTGATGATTAAAGTTAAAAAAGAAATTCTATCCTTGTCCCCTTTCTCCTTAATGCACATTATCTGATGGTATCTTTACTCAGACTACTAACATAGCTTGTTTCTTTTATACCTAATATAAATCATAATATGAGTCCCTTTTTGACTTGTAAATTTACATATTTTTGGTTTCAGTAAGATGGATTACTGCTTTTTTGCTCTAAAAGGCTATAAAATTCAGGGATTTGGAAGAGAACTAAAACAATGTTTGGTTTTATTTGGAGTCTTACCCAAATGGGGACACCAATCTGGCTCAGTGGGTGGAGCATGCGATTCTTGATCTCAGGGTCATGAGTTCAAGCCCCACGTTGGGTGTAGAGATTACTTAAAAAAAAAAAAAAAGTTTGGAGTCTTAGCCATATAAAGTTTTTATTTTATTTTTATTTATTTATTTTTGAGAGAGAAAGCACAAACAGGAAGGGGCAGAGAGAGGGAGACACTGAATCTGAAATAGGCTCCAGGTTCTGAGCTGTCAGCACAGAGCCCAATGAGGGGCCCGAATGCCCGCACTGGAGATATGACCTGAGCCGAAGTCAAAGGTGTAAACAGCTGAGCCACCCAGGCACCTCCATATAAAGTTACTTGTTTATTTTTTTATTTTTTTTTAATTATTGTCAAGTTAGCTAAACATATAGTGTATACAGTGTGCTCTTGGTTTCGGGGATATATTCCCATGATTCATCACTTCACATACAAAACTCATTGCTCATCCCAATAAGTGCCCTCCTCAATGTCCATCACCCGTTTTCCCCTCTCCTCCGTACACCACCGCCCCCATCAACCCTCAGTTTGTTTTCTGTATTTAAGAGTCTCTTACAGTTTGTAGAAATAATCTCTTTAGACTTTGTTCTATGGAAGGCTAAGTATATGTGTATGTGTTTCTACCTAGGGGATAAGGATTCCATGAAAAAGCTAAATATTTTCTACCAAACTGATTACCTCTTCTTTTTCTAGAAACCTGTGGATTTTTGTATCTAAGTTTACAGAGTTCGATGCAAGAAAATTACATAAGTTATATAAGCATGCTATTAAAAAACGGCAGGAATCTCAGGTAAATTGATGCATCATATTTTTCCTTTAATTTATGTTATTAAAACTGAGACATTCTTTCTTGTAGAATAATTCAATTAATAAATGTAGGAGGAATAAAGGAAATACAGAATCACTGTCAGACCACAATAAAAGTTGCTGCAGGTAGATGTTCTGAAGGAAACTAAAATTAGTGGGTGAGAAAATAAGATATTGGCATTGTCTAAAAGTATCTCATCTAAGATGTTTATTAATTACAAAGAGAAAAATAATGACTTTATAGAAGAGAGATCTGCGTACACGACCTTAAATGGTGAAGGGTAACATCAGCTAAAATAAGACCTATCAACATCATGAACCATCAGTATAGTGCGCTAATAAGAAAGGTATATCACTTCTGTGGAATTCTTGGCAAAAATGTATTACCTTAATTTGATCATGTGAAAATACCAGACAAACCCCAATTGAGAGATATTCTACAAAATAACTGTCTTACATTTCCAAAGTGTCAAGGTCATTGAAGACAAAAAAATGTAAAAAGCTATTCATTAGATTAGAGGAAACTAAGAAGATAAGAAAACTCAATGTAATATGGAGTTCCAGATTGGATCCTGGAACAGAAAAGGGATCTTAGTGGAAAAATGTTAAAAATTTGAACACAGTTTCTAGTTCATTTCATAGTATTGTAGCAGTGTTAACACTTAGTTTTGATTATCATACTGTGGTGTTATGTGAGATGTTAACATTAGGAAAAGCTGGGTAAACGGCATATGGGAACTTTACTGTTTTTGCAGCTTTTCTGTAACTCTAAAATTATTTCAAGGTCGAATTTTTTAAGAAAGACAGTCTATGTTTTAAAAAAAAATCTGCAAGTGATGCATTTATACATGTGTATGAGAACTTCTTTCAGCATCAGGATTTCCGTTTTGGGGTGTTTTTTCTTTTTCCTATTTTGTAAGGGTATTTTAAGCCACTTAAAAGATTCTTACATATGTGCATTTATTTTAGCAAAATAATGACCAGAACAGCAGCCTGAATGCTCAAGTAATTAGAAATCCAGGTAAGTGTTACTAATTGTTTTAGAAAGTAAATTTAAAAACTGTTTTCCTCTTTCAGGTTTGTTTTAGATAACACATACTCAGTTTTTAATATTGAATCTTTTATCTTAAACAATAACTTTAGTTTATTAACCTCTCCATAAATCAACCTTTTTTGCCAGTTTCAAGAAATGATAGATAATTGTTAAAATGAATGTATTTTTAAACAATATTTAGAATATAATGTATTCTGTCTGTGCAAGAATCACAAAAGTATAGTCTGAGAAGGAAATGGTCTCCAGATTGTTTCAGTTGTGATTTTTCACACTTCAGAATACAGTAACCCTTTATAAGACTTAGCTCTGCCTTTATAGACCGGTTCTGAAGTCTTTAACAGTATTTGGCAACTGATTTTGTTTATCCGGATTTGAAATAAGAGTTCTTATAATCTAGCAGCAAAGTTACTTTTGTTTACCATGTGTTTTTTTTAAGTCACTAACAAAAGGTGTACTCTTTTATCTAACAGATGTGGAAAGATTAAAAGAGAATACAAATCACGATGATAGCAGCAGGGACAGTTATTCATCTGATAGACACTTATCTCAGTATCATGATCATCATAAAGACCGACATCAGGGAGATTCTTACAAAAAGAGTGACTCTAGGAAAAGACCCTATTCTTCCTTTAGTAATGGCAAAGATCATCGTGACTGGGATCATTACAAGCAAGAAAGCAGGTAAACTGGATGGTTTTGCGGTTTTGCTTATTTGTGTCCTTCTCTTTTTGACCTTTATGTACTCTATTTGACCTTACCAGCCAATTCATTATTCAGGTAATCAGAACAGATCTTATGTGAAATTAATTTGTTTACAAATAAAAAAAAAAAAAAAAAACCTGATATAGAGTACTTTTTGTTAGTATTAAGAACTAAATTTCTCCAAAATTTTTTTAGTTACAAAGTGTGCAGTAAGAGATGAAAGTATAGGGAGTTCTGTATAAGTCATAGGATTCATTTTTGTTGGTTTTAGAGGATATTGGCTCAAATACTCTTCAAAATACAATAACAGAGTAAAATTAAAGCTTGATGGAATATGACTGAAATTTGATGAGCAGAATTCTGTGTTCCATTCCACTAAAAAACTCCTAGGGGAAAAATTAATTTATGTGAAAACACCCTACTGAGTATAAACTTAATCATGGCAGTCTGGGGTAGTCCTGAAATCAGGAAGTTTTCTCTGTTTAGTATTGTTTTGTTGTTTTTTGAAGCCTTTAAGTAGTTAAACAATCTGAATATAACAACAGAATACGTTTTATTTCATAAAGGAGTATTTTCATCAGTTAGTTATAATTAAGAAAAGCAAAAGAAAAAACTGAGAAGAAAAAAGATCAGAAATAGAGGAATTAGTAGATTTTCTTCGCATTTTAGTTGTATTTACTTTAATCATTTCTTCTCTATGATAGAAGTGCTGTCACATAATAAGTATCAATTGTAGAATGGCTCTTATAATTAGAAAAGGGCACAAAATGCAAAGCCCTGTTTGTAGCAGTAAATATTTATAATTTCACAGACTTATAGAACATAATTCATATTTTTTTTGTAACAAGGACTTTTCCCCAACCAGTGAAAGTTCTCTTCTACAAATTAGTTCATAGACTGAATTTTAGAGGTTTTTATTTTTTCTGCTTAGAGTTTCATAAAAGGCTCTGATTTCAAGGGTATTCTATATCGTTGTCCTAACCCCCACTTCCAGATAATTAAGATGCATTAATAAAAATGTCCCATAGAATAAAAAGTAACAATCAGTTGAAAAATGGGCATGTGAGCTAATTGAAATAAGTTAGAGAAAGACAAATAGCATAAAATTTCACTTGTATCTGGAATAAAAAACAAAAACAGTGGACAAACAGAAAAGCAAAAAAGACTCATACAGACAAGAGAACAAACTGGTGTTGCCAGGAGGGAGGGGATTGGAGTCAGGGAGATGGGTGAAATAGGTACAGGAGATTAAGAGGTACAGATTTTCAGTTATAAAATAAGTCATGGGGATATAAAGTACAGCTTAGTAATATTGTAATAACTTTGTATGGTGACAGATGGTAACTATACACTTACCATGGTGAGCATTTCATGATGTATATAATTTCATATCACTATGTTGTACACCTGAAACTAATATACTGCATGTCCATTATAGTTTAATTAAAAATAAAATTATATTAAGTAAATAATTAAAAATGGGCATGTAAAATTAGATGGTATCTGAGGTTCTCTGTATGGTTCACTTTAGTTTTGTGAATTGAATGATTTTTCCACAGAGGCATGCAGAGACAGGTCCAGTGACTTAAGCTCACTGAGGAGGTCTTGTTGTGAAACACAGAGCTTCTATACAATTTAAAAGGATGCCTTAAAGTATTTTTCTGTTTTATTTTTTTAATACTTTTTCTATTTGGAAACATTTAATTTCCATCATTAATTTAATCCTAATTTCTGTTCCATTAGGTATTATAGTGATAGAGAGAAACACAGAAAACTGGATGATCACAGGAGTAGAGATCACAGGTCAAATTTGGAAGGAAGTTTAAAGGACAGATCTCATTCTGATCATCGTTCTCATTCAGACCATCGGTTGCATTCAGACCATCGGGCAAGTTCTGAATATACACACCATAAATCTTCCAGGGATTATAGGTATCACTCAGATTGGCAGATGGACCACAGACCTTCCAGTAGTGGCCCCAGATCACCACTAGATCAGAGGTCTCCTTATGGCTCCAGATCTCCATTTGAACACTCAGTTGAACACAAAAGTACACCTGAGCATACCTGGAGTAGTCGGAAAACATAACAAAAACTGATACTTTTTGTCTTTCTGGACTTTTCTTTTAGCCATATATCATAAACCAACACAGTAATTGCCTTACATGACTTGAAAGATATAAACAGATCTTCTATCAGTAGCAGTATTGTTACTTCTTTCCAGGATGCAAGGTCTATTATCCCAACAGAAGAGAAAATATTTTTATATTTAAGGATTATGCTGCACTGTACTACAAATACTGTAGTACTTTTTTTTTTTTTTCTTTTTTAAAGAAATGGAAAATGTTTACTATTACAGGGACCTCAACACTGCCCTTCCATATAGGCTGGATAAAACTGTTTTTAAGTCAGTGATTTTAGACTGACCTCCATTTAAATTATGTTTGTATATGAACTTTACTCTGACCTGTGATCATGTTTCAGGAAGGAATGAAAGAGAGTTCTTTTCTTAATAAAGAAAAAACACTCAAGGACTTTGTTCACTTTCCAAAGCTACTTGTTTACATTGTACACTGCGACCACCTTGCCGCTTTTCATCACAAGCTTGAATATTTAAATTCTGTACTTATATCTGTAAAATAGCCAGGAATTTCCTGTTTGTGATCTGTTATTATGCCTTTTTACACATACACACACATGGCTGTAAATTATTGTAAATGGATTAAATGAGCTTTCCTTACTTCCTTTCCCTGCTCAGGCTTTTTTTGACTGTTCCTTTCCCTACCAACTCAGGCCTTCTTATCATTTAAAAAAAATTATCAGTGTAATAACACTTTTTAATGATTTGTCTTGATGGAATCATTGTTTAGAATGTAAAAAATGGGGAAAGGGGCCACTTAATTCCATTAGTCTCTTTTTATATTGACTATTTTATTAGATAAATGTTATTTCTTTCATTTTTTCTTTTTTAGTAAAATATTGTGTTTGTAGTAACAAAATGGTGAGATAATATGTAAAATCTAAACTGCATGCTCTGGAAACATTTTTTTCAGATGCATTTGGTTTAAAAGGGTAGGTGTATGAACACTTTTCAGAATCCAAAATGGCCAAAAGTTATTGTAAAATCCATTTGTTTTCCCTTTTCATGTGGGCAATAATGTCAAATGTGCTATGCAGCCAGGTAACATTTTAGATAAACTTGATTGACTTTTAATATAAACTGTTACAATGCACACTGATTGTATATAAAAACCTTATATATGACAAATTAAATTTAAGAAAAAGGATATGTGGGCTCCTGTAATTTTCTGCTGCATTCTTACTCGCTCAAGCACTTAGTTTTTTTTTTTGTTTTTTTTTTTTAAGTAGTAACGTTTAGCTACCAGGTAAAAGGTATTTTGGTAAGCAGTTGAATATTAAGTGTGTGGCACTACAAAACTAAGTCTATTTTAAAGACTATATGAATCTATGAAGTAAAATTAGATCATAGAAATCTTTGTTGGTTTCCTGCAGATTTTATTTCAGAATGCCTTATATTTATTCACAGATTTTTATTTTGTTATATTCAGTGGGGATTTTTGAACATGTGACACATTCTTGGATGTGTGCTGTGATGTAACAAATTTGAATCTTAACTTTGACAAATATAAGTATATTGGTATATGCCTATAATAGTCTTTAAAGTGTCCCATGTTGATTAACTGTGGGAATAATCTACAGAAATTTGTCCATAGATGGATGTATTTTTTTTAAACATTTTAATTTTCTCCATTAAAGTCTAAAATTTTATGTGAACAAAGCTTTCCTTTTTTTTTTTTTTTTTTTGGTGATCCCTCTTTTAGTTACCTGAAGAACGATAATCTGTTTTTTCCTGGCATATCAGATAACATAGGAACACTAACTCAATTTTTAAATGTCAATTTATAATCAAATTTAAAAGTGATAAAACATAGTGCCGGTACACATTTTTAAGCTTTTCCACTTTTTCCACATTTAATGTAAATGATTATTCCACAAGATAGCATTTAACACAACAAGATAATGCTTAACGAAGTTATAATATTGACATAGTAAAAAGATCAGGGTTGCATTTTTAATTCATCACTTTGTAGCTGGGATATTTGCATTATATCCTATTATACAAAATATCATAGAAGAACAATATTACATTTTTTGAGGCAATGGAATGGGCTCTTTCTTAACAATGCCATATTTAGTTGAATAGATCAATCACCTAATTAGCTGAGTTGAATGGAAAACCTAAAACTGTATGTAACATTAATTGATGGAAAATATGTTCATTATTTGTAAAAAGTCAGCAATCATGTAGAAGAGGAACAAGCCATAAATTTACTAAGACACAATGGAGAAGAACATTGGTACATAGATATAACAGGGAACATTCTCTATAAAATATGCTTAAATTTTGTCTATTACATGCTCATTCTGCTTTGCTATTTATATCCATTTGTGTTTAAATTTTTAAGGGTGAGAGATTATGCATAGTACTGTACCAATTAACCCTCCACTTTAATAATATACAATAAATGATTTCTTATTAAAAGCAATGGCCTGTTTGCTTATAAAGAAAGTATTCTTTGTTCAGGGTATGTTAGAAAATAATTTTAGACTGGAAAGCTGTGGAAAACTGGAGTGTGAATGATTTGTTCACTAATTTCAGAGTGAGTGGCTTAATAAAACTGAAATTTTTATAGAAGTTGCATAAGACATGGTAGATTACAAATACGATAATTTCTGTAATTCATTTTTGTAGTTAAATTATGAAAGGGTTGTATAGATACACTGATTTCACTTTCTTGAGATTTATCAAGACTATACAGTGGTATAAATGGCATAATTCCTATCTTCGTTACTGTTTCTGACTAGACAATGATCTTTAAGCCGTAAATAATAATGTAGGTTTATAGTTGTGATACTTCTTGTCAAGGGCTGTGGTAATTTGAAAGGGGGAAGGGGTTGGAAAAGCAACTAGTTTTTAAATACGGGCTTCATTTAGACTTACCCTGCTTCGTCTGAAATTTTAATGTGAACTCGTAAATGTGGCTTAATTATTAAAATTTTGAGTAGTTCATTACTTAGCAAATAATGGAATAATATTTTTAAATGTTTCTAAATTGATGTCTAACATATTAATATAAACAACTATCAAACCCATTGCTTAAGTTTAAGACTCGATTTAAAAGTACAGATAAAACTATTACATATGTTGCAGCACCTTATGCAAGATTTATGAGCATGTTTAAGGGGAGGCAACTAGGTAATAGTACAACAAAAATATCTTGACAATGTCAGAATTTCTGTGTTAAAATTCTCATCTTCTCATTTTAGACATTTTTTTTTTTTCCAACGTTTATTTATTTTTGGGACAGAGACAGAGCATGAACAGGGGAGGGGCAGAGAGAGAGGGAGACACAGAATCGGAAACAGGCTCCAGGCTCTGAGCCATCAGCCCAGAGCCCGACGCGGGGCTCGAACTCACGGACCGCGAGATCGTGACCTGGCTGAAGTCGGACGCTTAACCGACTGCGCCACCCAGGCGCCCCCATTTTAGACATTTAAAACAAACAATTCAATTGAAATTATATTTTCTCTTGACAATGACTGTAGTGAGTAATTTTATAAATTCTTTATGCTAATATTTTTCTTTTTTTTTTTTTTTCCTCCAAGAACCTAATAGACTGATTTTATTAGGAAATCTTTGGATTCTTTTATAAAGAAAGACCTAAGGTTAGGAATATTAGCTATGTTAAAGAATGAAAGATAAGATTACTTGGTAAAGTAGGATTAAAAAATACTTTCCAGACTGTTTCCAAGTATCTATACAAATTCTTCAATGGATCTTTATGTGCCACATTTTCTATCCTAAAAGGCTATTGCCATCTTGGCCTTCAGTTAAAAAACAAAAAACTGGGGGTGCCTGAGTGGTTCAGTCAGTCAAGCATCAGACTTTGGCTCAGGTCATGGTCTCATAGTTCTTGTGTTTGAGCCCCACATCAGCTTCTATACTGTCAGCATGGAGCCTGCTTAGGATCCTCTGTCTGCCCTGTCTCTGCCCCTCCCCTGCTCCTGCATGTACTCTAGCTCCCCAAAACAAATAAACATTACAAAAACATAACCAACCTTTATTTGAGACAAGATTGGTAGTTCAAACAAAAATGAGTAAGATGCTTTTAATTCTATGTCCTAGTCTACATTTGAGTCTGGATCTAAATATTAAGTTGAAAAGGTATAAATAGCCTCAAAACAAAACCTGAGCTCATAATGCTTCTGTTAAATGAGCTAGGATGATTGCATTGATGCGTTGATTTACATTATCTGGCAGAAGTGGGAATTGCATTTTAATTTTATTACTGTAGGCTACTATTAGGTTTCCAGTCTGTAGATGAGCTGTGGAATTAACCTGGCACTCATTGTTTTTTCCTGTTACTACCTTTCAAAACTTTGCTTTGTCTCTGTTCTTCAATTTCACTCTGCTGAGTCTGGGTGTGGTTTTGTTATTTATTTATTTTTGTTCAAGTCTTGTCCCTTGACCAGTTCTTTCTATTTTCTGGAAACCTGGTATCACTATCACAATATTTTTGATTTCTGTCCTCTGTCTTAACAACTTTACTATTTTTCCTTCTCTTTCCATTTCTCTGCTTGGTCTCTTCAGCTTCAGCCATTCCCCTGAACTCGTCTCCACTTAGATATCTAATAGGTATCTACTCTTTTTCTTTATTTTTACTCATTTTAGAGAGCAGGAGCAAGGGAGTCAGAGGGAAATAGAATCTTAAGCAGACTCCAGGCTAAGCCCTACTGGGGCTTGATCCCACACACCTGGGATCATGACCTGAGCCTAAATCAAGAGTCGGATGCTCAACCAACTGAGCCATGCAGATGCCCCTAATAGATATCTACCATTAAAATACAGAAAACCAGACTCTTCTCCACCAATGACATTAAAAAAAACTGGCAGGGTGCCTGGGTGGCACAGTTGGTTGGGCGTCTGACTTTGATTAGGTCATGATCTCATGTCTTGTGAGTTTGAGCACTGTGTCAGGCTTGGTGCTGACAGCTCAGAGCCTGGAG